TCTCTCGGAATTAAAATCGTCAGCTACATTCTTCTGATCTCTTCGAATAATTTCTCGAGTACAGTTTCGGTGTGTATTAGTAACTGGAAACAGCTACTCGAGAGGGAGAGAGAGAGAGAGATTTGGGTATCTATAACGCTAAATACCTCGATGACTGTTAGATTCGATTCAATTTAGTTCGATTCAACTCGGGTTTATCGGAGCATGGAAGTAAGGGACTGAAAGACCTGTTCCTCGCAAGGGATAGTAAGGCCCATATGGTGACTGAACCCAAACTCCTCCTCAGCCAATTGGAGAAGAATTTGAAACTCAGGCGACGTCAAGACCGTGAGCGGCACGATGTAGCGGCTCCTATTCTCACTCACATACACCACAAAATGCCCCTTCGGCACATCCACCGGAATCTCCCCTGCACCGGCACCGGCACCGCCGCCGCCGCCGCCAACGCCGCCGCATTGCAGCTGATTGTTCTTGTTCTTATTGCTCCTCAAACCTGAGCAACGCTTCATAATTTGCTTCACCACCGCCATGGATAAATGAAATGGAATGAGTGAAGGGTTTGGGGAAATGGGGTTCGATATTTATGGGGGAGAAGACTCGGAGGTAACAAAATCATGTGGGGTTGTGGAGGAGGAAGCAAAGGACAGGCCATATGTGTACGATGGTGGGACCCACTTTTTCCTTTTAAAAAAAAAATTAATTATTTATTTTATATTATCATAGCTTCCAACACGTATTCCTTTTCATTCTTTTATTATTTTATTATTAATGTTACAACCGTATATTCATTATTTTAATCATATAGATTCCAATTTTGTAAAAATTTTATATAAATTATTCCATACATTATTATTAAAATGGTTTGTGATTATAATATATGATCGGATTGGTTAAATTTTTGTATTATGTGAATTACATGTTATCTAAAATTTAGATTTTTTTTAAAGAAAATTTGTTATTATTTCAATATTTTTTATTTTAATAAATGAATAATTGGGGGTCTAAAATGTTTCAATTTCAATCTTATATTTTTATTTTAATATGTAAAATACTCCAAAACCTTACTAAATTCTATGTTTGGTCCCTACAAAATAAATGTTAGGCCTAATTTATTGAAAAAACATGTGATGTAATTATATTCATCGATCTACATGTGTCATATGTCTCATATCCATATAAGGACTATTTGTAAATTCCATAAAATTTTGAGGTTGAAATGCAAAATTCAAAACATTAATAGACTCAAAAACAAAAATTAGATAAAAGTTAAGGACCAATGTGAAATAACTCCCAAAAAAATCTTTAATTATTTGGGTCCCAACTATTTTTTTTTTAATTTTATTTTTCATGAGAGTTAATTATTATTCTTATTTAATTATTAGTTTATAGGTCCATTTTGTTTTAATTTTATTTTTCATTAAAAAAAAGGGAGGATGTTGTAATTAGAAATAATAATAGAGATTTTGAATAAGCTTTGATTAATGGATAGTGACATTAATGGAAATTTTAAAATGTAAATTCATTCATTATATATATATATATATAAAGGACAAAAATAATAATAATCCTAATATTTCGTGAAAATATGATATTTTTTAATATAATTCACTATTTTAGGGTTTTGCAATAAATAAATAAATAAATAAATATATATATATATATATAAGACACACGAAAATGACTGTTCCTTTCTCATGGCTACAAACCAAAACATTATCCACAACGATGTCTTTAATGAATCCTTCCATTATCTTTGCTTCGGGGGTGTTTTTTACATTCATGAATCAAATATTCAAATTAATTAATGTAAATTCGAAAATTATAGGAAATGTTAATTCTTTTGATGTAAACGATGTTGACAAATGCTTATGTTTTTTTTTGAAGTCAACCCTTTCTTTAAATCCTTTGGAAGTTGTTTCCACTTTATGTTACAAGTGTGATCGTATTTAACTTATAAATGTATATAGACTATGTTCTTTGATATCATTAATATCATCAAAGTGATAATATGAACACAATATTGATCTCTTTTTGTTTTTAATTTAAAAAAATTGGTAATCATTTCCTTCGTTAGGTAATTATCTACCCAAATAAAAGTTTACGTTCATGTTGACTTTTAAGCTAAAGTCAAAAACTCGACCGTAAAAAGAGCAATGAAAATAGATTATTGAGCCAAAAGATGGTTTTTGTGTAGTTTTTTTTTAGGGTTTAGGGTACGAGCTTATATTGAGTTGAAATAAATTAAACCGAGTCGAGCGTTTTATTTGGAATCAAAGGAGTCGATTTGGTACGTAAATGTCATCATACGTAAGTTGAATTGAACTGGCTTAGTGGGATATTGGAATGTTTCTATCGAGTAGACGTGTCTAATGACTGATACATAATGTCATTCATAATAGTCGTTTCATAACCGTATGAACATGTAGATGGATGGGACTTATCCAAACGTTAATATGAACGCAAATATTATTTTTTATTATATTTATAATGTCGAATATTATTAGTATAGATGTAATAAATATAGATATATAAGAAAATTGGTTAATAGTGTGACATTGACATGAAAATACATAATCTTAGGTTATAATAATAAAGGAGTAGGTTTTTTTTTTTAATGATTATTTCAAAATTTAATTTTAATTTTTTGTTTATGGTATCCAGCTGGCATGAAATATAAATAATTAGAATGAAAAGAAAAAACCAAAGTGAAAATTGAAGGTTCCAAGAAGCACGTGCCGGCAGTATGGTCCCACCGGTGCTCACTCTCATGGATAATTTGACTTTCTATATTTTATTAAAAACAAGTAAGCGTGTTATCTTTCTCTCTCTTCCCTACATAAAAGTGTTAATTATATTCATCAAATTTAAAATTTTAAAATTGTAATGAATATTTGAATTTTTAAGTTTACAATAAATTTCATCAAATTAAAAAAAAAAAAAAAAAACTCAATTTTTAATTTTTAATTATAAATCTTTAATATATTTGATACATTGAACGACCAAATCTGAAGCTTAGTTTAGAGATTTCGTTCTATGGAGAAAGATTATTTTTACTTAATACGTGATCGGTCAAGTTTGGTGATTGCTCCCTTCGATCCGATGTGGGCATTTAAAATAATAATAATCATAATAATAATAAATAAATAAATAACATATAGAATTCTATTTTTCAATTTTTAAATATAATATTTTTAAGTTGCTAATATTTAGTATGAATGCCTTGTCAGCATTTGACCACGTAGTCACATTCAAACCTAAGTACGATCTCGTTCGGATTTGTCTACGTGTCAAATTCTTATTTGACTAATTATTCTTTCTTTTTTGTTCCTCAAAAGCTTATTTGACTAAATTGTATTTCATATTGAATATAATAAACAAGCTCATAATTTTCAACAATAATAATTATAATGATTTGAAACACATTGGTCCATTAGAAATAATAATAATAATAATATCATTAATAAACTCTTTTAAAAAAAAACTAAAAAAGATAGAGATTTATCCAACCATTTAGGGTAAATTAAGTTTAAATAAATAAAAAAGTTAGATTGAGTTGAAATAAACAATTAATTTTAAAAATTACATTTTGGGCATATATATATATATATATAATTGTTTAATTTTATAATCAATTTTTTTTTATTGTTTATTCTCCAATAATCCTTAAATATATATTAAAATTGAATTATAAATCTTAATTAAATGTTTAAAAATAAATAAAGAGATATTTTATTGGCAAATATTTATTTTTATTAAAATAAAAAATTTAAATAAATGACAAACAACTCGAACCAACTCAATCTAAGAAATTTATGGATGGGTTAAGTTAGATTAAGTTTATTATTTAATAAAAATTGTTTGAGCTGAAAAATTTACGACTCGAATAATGGGATTTGGTGTAGAAAATGTCTCTACTCAATCCACGAACACCCCACCTCTACAAAGTGTGGGGGCAAACGACATGAGGTAACGAGGGCAGTGTGAATATCTATACTCTTCCACGCTGCATATGCTTCCTGCAGAAATTACTGTAGCATGTGCTTCTACATTAATAAATCTCCATTAAAAAAAAAACAGAAAATAGAATGATTGAAATGGAAGGACAATTTGGTCACAGTGGTAAAAAAGAAAGGCGTGTCCTGTGAAGGAGATGAATTGTTAACAAGACGCGGGAAGGGTAGAAAGTCATATATGCCCCTGCCCCTCACACAAAGGGCGGTGACTTTCTTATATAATTAAATATAAATTTTATTGCCGAACGACAGGTCGGATCCGAGTTGGAAGTGTGGACTTTGCCAGCTAGGCTATTCCCATCCCCATGCACGTACTATTTCCTACGCCGTCAGTTTGTATAATTTCTCAATATTTTAAAATTTTGATTTTTATATAATAAGTTAATTTTAGGATATGTTTGAAATAATATTTTACCGTTGGATGTCTCAACCTTATTTTCTCCAAAAGACAAATAATGGAGTAGTAAATTAAATTAAATAGGATTTAGAGGAAAGTAAATAAAGGGCCCCCAACCCATTTCGAAGGACTTTACGGACGTACCTTAGCCAATGGTACGACACGACGACCCAATGTGAGCATTAAGGTAAGGCGACGTGTCGTTTTGGACAAGTTAGGCCTGCTCTTTGCACCCACTCTGGGGCACAAAATTGGGCCCAGCTTAACCACTTCTTCTGCTAATCGAAGCTCTTACATCGAACCACGATGCAGGAGGGGGGGCTCGTGATACAGGACCACATGGTTGCAAGGGTCAGAAGGAGGATGTAGTACCTCATCTGCTGCTATGGCTTCCGTAAAGTTAAACGATAGCTTACATGTTCGTACTTTTGAACGATAGTCTGAAACTTCGAAAAATAAAATTTGGGTGTCGGTAAATAAATTTTGTTAAATGAAAATAACGAGTTTTAAGCTTGAAATTAAGAAAACATTCCCATTCGTTATAAAGTACAAGTTATGTGAGAAATGAATCGTGCATAGATAAATCAAGATTACAACTAAACGAGAGTGATATTGAATATATGATAGTTGCCCTCTCGAGCAATCTAACATCATCTAACAATCCTACTAACCATAAACTTCAAAAAGCCTATCATCTCAACAAATTCATCATCAAACGGACATTCTGTTTTCATGCTAAAAATTACTAAATCAATTGTGGCAAAGAGAATCCCTGGCCTCATCACCATGGTTATCTCGTGCAGACACAGATAGAAACATAACAATTAAAGAACTTTCCAGCTAAAGAGATGAAACCTTGGGCATATAGCATTCACAACTAGGAAAGGACGCATTGACCGAGATACGTAACGGTACTCTACTTTTTAACTGCTGATTTCTCTATCGACCTTTGTTCTTTTGGCGCTAGTAGGCATTTCTGGCACGCTACTACTTCTCTGCTGGAACACGGGGTCGTGCTGATACGCACAATTAGCTCCATGTCGACATCCTCTCGGGCTGTTAAAATATATGCAGGGTTTCATTATCTTGAACTTTGCTTCTCTTGATGGCTGGTTCTGTAAGAACTCTTGGTTTGTACCCAAGTGTTGGTTGTGACGGTTCGGGAATTGCTGCTGCCGAGGGGGATCGTCCTGTCTCTCCCCTCCATGTTGCTGAATCAAACTTTTATAGTAATTCAAGTCCTTCATTGGGGCTCCATTGGAGGGCAGGGAAGAAGAAACTGGTACACCCCTTGAGGAAGGGTGTGCGTTGGGGACAGGTGCTACACTCCCTCCATTTGGTTGAGAGAAAAAAGGAGGCGTAATGGTGGCATTGGTTTCGGACATAGGCATATGTACAAGCTGTGGGTCAGGAGATGATATTGGCTTTTGAGTGCTTGTGACGACACCAGAATCCACAACCAGCTGCTCGATCATTTTTGGATTGTTGAGAATATTAACAAGTAATTCGCGGTCGATCGAGTTACCTATCTCATTGCTCTTCACAAGTGCACCGAGTGCCGCGGATGCAGCAGCTACTACATCATGTTTGTTGCCAAGATCCATTCCAGCCATAGAACTCACACTAGAAGTAGAAGACATCGCATTTAGTAAAACATGTTGAGATGTAGATCTACCAGCAGGAGTAAATGGGGAGGGCTGTGCACTCGTATTAAGGACAGAGGCGGGGCTTGCGTAATCAGACGAGGTCTCGGTTGTTGCATCTTCATCTTCAACAGGAGTAATGGGAATCAGAGGTGTTCGACTGTCATCTACATTGGCACGTTCTGAATCAGCTACTACGGACGGGCTGTAGGGATGCAAACCAAACGGATTTTCAGTATAAAGAATAACAAACAAACCAATGCCAAAACAGAACTATAAGGTGCAAAGGAAGTAATCAACTTAGGAGGAATTGCAGATGGCCGAGGATAAACCGCTTCAAGAACTCTCATCTCTCTCTGATTTTCAACAACTACCTCTCGGCTTTCTTCACCAACAACCACTTGCCACGTCAAATTCAGCACAAACTACGGGAATAAACATTAAAAGGAAAAGAAGAAAAAAAACTGCCATGGGACAAAAAGCATGAATTTCATGTTAAACTTGCAGAGCTATAGTTCTAGTTGTTCAACATAAATTGAAAATGAAATCACTACTTACCTTAGGCGGACATCTCCATTGATTAACAGGGATCTGTGAGAGCTTAATCTGCGACTGATTCTCTGAATGAGCTACTTCAAATCCAGGAGGCAAAGTGTCATCAGAACCTGATCCAGTAGAATGCAAGAGCCACGATGCCTTTGCTTGAAGGTGATCTTGGGCACCCAATCCCACTTGGGAAGGACAGTCCTCAGACAAGAACAGCCTAACCTGCAAACGAACGATGCATTTGTTTCCTGTTAGCGTAAGAGCATATAAAAGATATTCAAATAAAAGGAGCCAAATTAGAACCTAAACTACCTACTACCAAAAACGAGAGAGAGAAAAAAATTCATCCGAAAGAACAAGGACAGATTGATAATTACAAAAACTCCTAGAAGCATGAGGTTCGAGTCATAGAGGTACAAGCTACTCTTCAAAAAATATGTTATAAAACATATGTTTGGACGAACATATTCGCTTACTACTTGTAAGCGTATAAAAAAAAAATATACAATCATAAAACTTTTAGTTTCTAATATCAACAATTTATATAAAATCTACACGATGTTATCATAATGTGTGTATTTCTAAGCTAAATATACATACATATAACTTAAAACAACATTGCACTATGATAATTACAAAAACTCCTAGAAATATGAGGTTCGAATCATAGAGGTACAAGCTACTCTTCAAAAAATATGTTATAAAACATATGTTTGGATGAACATACTCGCTTACTACTTGTAAGCGTATAAAAAAAAAATAATAGTCATAAAACTTTTAGTTTCTAATATCAACAATTTATATAAAATCTACACGATGTTATCATAATGTGTGTATTTTTAAGCTAAATATATATACATATAACTTAAAACAACATTGCACTATAATCCTATGATATGTCAGGGTTACATTATTTTTTATATATAAACAAACTTAAAATATTTCAGTGTGAAGCAAAAGGAAATACTAAATGAACGTAATATTTTATCGTTCTTATAGAATTTTGGGAATTTAACAGTAGCACAACATTTGATTATAGATAGAAATACAAGAACTGAGATATTAGAGAATTAAAGTGATAATGAACTAGAAAATACAAATAGACACCTAAACAGTTGGAGGAACTTGGAACCCTCCTCCAAGTAAACTCAAGCCCCAAGAACTCAAACCATTGCCTTCCTTACTCCTCTCCCACTTCGTCCAGGTAGAACCACATCCTACTGGCAAATTCTCTGGCTAATAACTAATATCCCCTTAGTATCTAAGAATGGTAGGCAGAGGGAGAAGGAACAGATAGATATGTCACCTAAACTAAAAAAACATTGGAATAATTTAGTTAAAATCGTTCTTTCCGTTAATCGACTTAACTAAAAGTCGAGAACCTTTTAAAACTCTATCCTAGAAGTTAGGAACTAAAATGTCACTATTTTAAACTTAGGACTAGGACCAAATAAAAGTCAAAAGTGTATTTCACCTAAAAAGATTCTTAACTCCATAAATTGTTACTTTCTTAATTAAAGATTCTAATGGGTATTCTCAACATCACCATCACAGTTACAAAATGTAGAGATTTATTTCTTCAAGCAGATTGATATGAATCTTCAAGCTATTGTATGAGGTGCAAAGACGGTTTGTTCAAACGGAGGCAAGACCTCTGGTGAACTTAAATGCTATACCCTGCCTCGAAGTGATCTTGTGGGCATAAGCCTTCGTGAAATAAAACTTGTAAACAATTGGGTCTATGTTATCAATCCATTCATTTTCATTATGCGATTGATTTGAATTTAGACACAAAAAATTGTGATACAGAAAATTTTCCATTTACTTCTCTATTCCCAGGATACTTGATATTAGTGGCTAAACCAGAATTGAGCCATGAGACTCAAATTGTGTTCTTCACGGAGATAAGCAGTAAGTAAAGCATGATAATGAAGCAAAGGTTTAAAACACAAATGTTTCTAGGTAGAAATGAAATTTAGACTAAAACTACACTAATTAGAACGATGAGGAGGGGAAAAAAAATCCCAAAATCGAGGCGGCAGATGACTAGTTCGCAAAATTGTTCTCGGTTCAATGAAATTAAGCCCTAAATACGTCAAATTAAATCAGAGGAAACGTAGTTATTACCTGACGGAGATTAAGATCTGACGCCCATGAAACCCTTTTTCCTTTGTGCAATCCTCGCATATTTAGAGGTACTCAAACTGCTATCTCTTCAAATGTTTCACGGTTAAGAGTCGGAATTTGTCCCGATGAGAATGAAAGCCCGACTGCTATCTCGTCGAATCCGGGCTCCGTTTTTCAAACTTTTAAAGAAGATTATGTTATCGTTCCTAAATCGAAACGTGTCAACAAATTGTGCAAGGTGGAATTGCAGAAGGCTGATCTAGATTTGCATGTAACATAAACAAGACAGAGAGATCGAAGAAAACCCTAGATCCTCTGGTTCAGGCTTCCCGGCTACCGCCTCATCATTTCCTTTTGGCTTCGTTTCCTTATTTCAAGTACATTGGTGTTTATTTTGGCTTCTACCAAAATTTACTCTACCTGAGATGCAATGCATTGGGTTTGATAAAAAATATTTTTTTTTATCCATAATTTTTAACAATTTTAGTTCACGTTAATTCCAATCAAATTAATCCATATCCTAAAAAATTTAATCAAATTTTAATATTATCTTTATTATTTAAACACACAAAATCCCGATTAATTTATTGATTTACTTATGTAAAAAATTATGTCAACCTCAAGATTTTAAAACATGTTAGAGGGAGGTCTCCATATGTTTATAAGGAATTTTGCTTTGGATCCCACAATCCACCCTTTGGAGGCCAGCGTACTCGCTGGCATACTGTTTGGTGTCTGACTCTGATACCATTTGTAACCGTCAAAATCTACCACAGTAAGGAATTTCGTTTCCCTCTCTAATCGAGTGGGATCTCACAATTCATTCCCTTTGAGACTAGCATACTCGTTGGCACGCCACTCGATGTCTCGTTTCCCTCTCTAATCGAGTGGGATCTCACAATCCACTCCCTTTGGAGACTATCATACTCGTTGGCACGCCACTCGATGTCTGGCTCCGATATCATTTGTAACAACCAAAGCCCACTGCTAGTAGATATTGTCTGCTTTGGCCCGTTACATATCGCTGTCAGTCTCACGATTTTAAAACACGTTTACTAGGAGAGATTTACACACACTCACAAGGAATACTTTGTTTAACACTAATTTTTACAATAAAAACTAAATCATTACAAATTTAACATTTTTTTTTTCTTTTATAGAAAATTGAAAGTAAATAGACTAATTGTTGTTTTCGACCAAAATAATGAAGTAAAAAGTTAGAACCCATAATCAACCTCTAGCATATATTATTCTATTTGGGCTTTTCCTCTAACAAATAAACATAAGTGTTGTGACCCAACTTCAGAACATTAAAGGTACATAGGGAATAGAAATAAGAAAGGGCTCAATTATATTCTGTTTATAAAGATAAAAAAAAGCTGGGGAAAAAAGAATACATATCCCTTGAATCTCTTCATCACACTGTAGCTAGCTCAAACACAAACACAAGCAAAACCATTTGTAACGAATCTAGTAAATATGACGCAAATATGACGCAAATATGACGCACACAATGACCACAAACTTGTAAATTACTAACAGGTGATGGAAAATTTTTGAAGGGGGAAGGGGGAAATGGAGAGATAACAAACAAACAAACAATTAGTAGATAGAAATGGCAATTTACACATCTTTCCTGAGCAGATCCACACCTCCTGGCTTCATTAACTAAGCTCATGAAAATGTAGATCAGAAATTAGCTGCTGCACGCATTGAGGTCAAGTTGTCTCCTCAAGCTGGTTACCACCATGTGGTTGCCTGCTTACCTTCGCCACATTTTCTCTGAAAGTAGGATTCAGGAAAGGAGATGTGACGTTTCGAAATAATTCATATGATGATATACGATGGTAACTTTAGAGATTAATAAATTTTAAGAGACATGGTAAATCACTAACACCCTTGTAACATCTCAAGCCCACTGCTAGCATATATTGTCTGTCCTCTTTGGGCTCTCTCTTTCGGGCTTCCCCTCAAAGTTTTTAAAACGTGTCGGCTAGGAAGAGGTTTCCACACCTTTATAAAAATGTTTCGTTCTCCTCCCCAACCGACGAGGTGTTAGGAATCACAGATCTCTACAATGGTATGATATTGTCCACTTTAAAGCATAAGCTCTCATTGTATTTGCTTTGGGCTTCCCCAAAAGACCTCATACGAATGAAGATGTATTCCTTACTTAAAAACCCATGATCATTCCCTAAATTAGCCAACGTGGAACTCCCTCCCCTCAAACAAATTACAACATAGAGCCTCCACTAAGGCCAATGGAGCCCTGGAACAGCATCCCCTTACTCGAGGCTCGACTCCCTCTCTAGAGTTCCTCAAACAAAGTACAGTCATTTTTTACTACACCTTCGAGGTTCACAATTCTTTGTTCGACATTTGAGGATTTCTATTGACATGGCTAAGTTTAGGGCATGCCTCTAATACCATGTTAGGAATCACAGATCTCGACAATGGTATGGTATTGTCCACTTTGAGCATAAGCTTTCATGGTTTTGCTTTGGGTTTCTCCAAAGGCCTCGTACCAATGAAGATGTATTCGTTACTTATAAACCCACGATCATTTTCAAAATGAGCCAAATGAATATCTCACACCCCTCACCCCCACTTTAAGAAGTATGCGTACCATCACTTAAAAGAAGTTAAATTGAGAGGAATGCGTACCATTTCCCTTCACTCCCTGCTGGGTTCGAGATGTTGACTGCTGAATGCGTGGAGATCCTTGCCGGCCATCAGCAGGTAAGGAATGCCTTTTCTTGATGTATAATTCTCCATCTTGAACATCCGGACTTGATCTTGGGGAGTTGGTTGAGGCCTTGGCTCTAGCAGATTGTGTGGCTTGCATGAAGTGAGGAAGAGAGTTACTACTAATGCTCTCTTTTAATTCCTTTTCAACATTTTCCGGTCGTGCTGAATCAAATGAGTTTCTTCTCTTCCCAGTCTTCTGATCTTTGTAAGAATTATCTGTACTACTCCTCGTGCCAGAATTGCAATTTAAACTGGATGGTGATTTCTTTCCTGCTGATGGAGACTTTTGCTTTTGGTTCTTATCAGTTTTACCCCGTTTAGCCTTTATTGATACCTGACTAGACGGTGTTCCTTGAGATTCTGGAACATTTAAATGGCTTCTTGGAGAAGCTTCTGGAGATGATCTATATGTTTGATGATCATGACCCGTATCAGCCTCCTTTTCTCTCTGTTGATCTGATGAACTTCTCTCTAGCTTTGGTTCACTAACTTCTGGTGCAGAGTCTACAACAGCAACTGAAGTGATGGAATGGCCATTAGATTCATTAACTTCTTCTGGTTGATCCACAAGAAGTTGGATACCCTTTTGCATTGGAGTAATAGAACCCTTGACTTCAACTTCCGTGATTAGATCACTGCTAGGATCTTGGACTCTTTTCTTTGAAACATCGTCTGAATGTGGATCTGCCACTCCTGCTTCGGATATATCAGGTGAATCAAGGGTGGAAGAAATAGAGAGCTCGGTGCCACATTCAGAGACACCAACTTGAACTATCCTAGATGCCGGAAGGACAATATTTTCATCTGCACATGACTCCGTCGTTCTCGGTAAAGTATCTGTTGTAGATGATACTGTTTCAGAATGAGGTTCAATTCCATCATCTTGATACATTGATCTAATTGTTCCAGTTGAATATGATGGCGAACTCAGCTGTTCAAATTTTTCCTGGGCATTGATAAATGATGGATTGTTCACCTTCCTTAATCCAAGCACAAATTTCTTACCCTCATTCTCCAGTTGCTCGGGGGCTAATCTTTTCAGAGGATTCGACTCTGTTTGTAAACCTACATCATCCATCTGAATATTCTGATCTTGAACAGAACTAACCTTAGTTGATATCTCTTTAGCTTCAGCTGTTCTAGCAGTCTCTGGAAGAGGCTGCTCCAGATTATCTTTTACTAATGAAGATGGAGAGCAGCTGGTCTGAGATTGTAAGTTATCGGCGTCATAAGTCATTAAATCTTCACTTTCAGATGGTGAAACTGATTTAATGGTGCTGGAGTTCAAATCTTCTGTTTCAGACAAAGCTTTTGAGTCAATTCGATCCTCAGCATGAGACTCCTCGATTTCTCCTTTCGTTAGCTCAGTGTCTGATTCTTCTTTCTTCAGCTCCTCGGTTTCTTTTTCCAATTGATCAGGGACTACTTCTTCTTCCTTCGGCTCCAAGACATCCGATGATGAAACAGCCATCCAGCGCTCCAACCATTTCCAAGCAGAGTCGTTTTTGGAAGGATCACACTTGATTTTGATTGGGTTGTTCCTTGGTGTTGATTCCAACAACTTCAAGTACAAAATTGACGGATAAGATTAGCACACCGCATAGTGGCCAAACAAGGAATCAAAACATCTAACATTATCAAAATACCTGCCGGGCAAAATTATTGCTAAGTAGCTTTTCAATTGAAATATATCTCAAATTGGATTTTGTTCTCCCTCCCTTCACCTGCAATATAAACGATATTGTTAAAACAAGGCAAGAAAAATTATCTAGGAATGCATAATGAAGTAAATCAAAATACTATCTTGTGAAAAGTTAAATGGCAGAAACAGAACGCCAAATAAAAACAATGAACAACCAAAATTACATCTAAATCTTGCCAAGGTGGGTCCAGTTTCTCAAGATGACATGATTTGAAAACCAGAAGAATTACCATGATTTTTGAACCAGGATTTTCCTTCTCATTCTTCTTATCCAGCTCATCTGGAGCCGATCCCTCAGGAGAGAGACGAGCACGACGAGCACGTACAATAGCTTGCATTTTGACAATGGCTTGAGCACAGCGAAGTGTTCCCACAGCATGTCTCCTTACCAAGAACCCACGAACAGCAGCTTGCACCTTTATCACATTCTTGAGTTTAAGCAGCTCCCTCTGTGCCTGCCAACATGTCATGGATGGAGATGTTAGAACTTCATTAAACAACCGATAAGAATCTCAGGCTAAAGAACTTCTGAAATTGAGAGTACCAAGAGCCCCCTGACACCAGCCTGGATGACAACAACAATAGCCTCCTCAACCTCACTATCAACCTTACTTTCAATTTCGGATGCATCATCCACCTTATCAGATCCTTTAGGATTCTCAACGTTAGGCACTTGGGTCTCCTCATTAGTGAAGTGTATTACAGTGGGTTTCTCAGGAACAGTGGAGCTAGGTGATGATTGGAAGTCGAAGGTAGTAGTTTCAAGATTCTCCTTCTCGGCAGCAGGAGTTTCTGCGATTACAGTGTTGTTGAGCACACGATGCTGGGAAGATTTCTTACGAAAACTCCAGGCTCGTTTGTCTTTCGAATCCTTACTCTGTAAATAGAATTAAATACAACAAACTACTGTAACAGACAGAAGATACACGTCGAAATGGAAGTACATAGATGCAGTAAATTGATT